GTAAGTGCCGCTCCACCTGTATCCTTCTTCTCCAAGTGCAGCAACTTTAGGGTGTCATCATTTTATTTGGAGTCTAGTTTGTAAGGTTTTATTTATGTCAAATTTGAAATGTAAGAGTTTGTTCCTCTTCTTATCTTGAATTTCGTCTCAAGTCGTGTCTCTTCGTTTTTGTGTCGTCATCACCTCTCTTGTGCGGGCGAGGGGTATAGGCTCCCCTATATTTCTTGCCCCCACCAAATAGGACGATTTCAGATTATGTTTTGGGATTTTGCTTAATTTAGTTTATTCTTAAGTTATTTGGGATCTAGCCGGCGGCTAAAGATTTGGGAGGGTCGGATCTTCCTCTCCAATTGAAGATCCAATTGTATCTTGCATTTCTCTTTATAGTTCTTTTAATAAAAATTATTTTGAGGTGTTCTTTTATCCTTTTTTTTCATCCACAATTTTTGTGAAAAGTGCATCCACTTCCTATCATGTTGCTACTTAATCCACCTGAGTCAACAAACATAAACAAAAAAACAGTAAGATTTATCATTTAGTGAACAGGATTCAATCATATAATGAATAAAAAATAATAAGCAAGGTGATTATGATATTTCAAATAGTATGAAAGGTTTATTGTATAGCATTAAATTATTTTCTAATAGACTGAAAAGTTTGTCTTGCTTGTTTCATTCAAGATCTTAAGGAAGAAGTTGGGGATGAAATTATCTACAATTCAACAAAACCGCTAGAATAATCTTTATACATAACTTTAAAATTGAGGAATATTCCAATCATTCCACCGCATTGATGTTTAATGTCCCGAAAGAAAAATCATTGGCATCTCTTCTAAAGATCATCACAAACACCAACACAAGAATCAAACATGACAGAAATATATTCATGTTTAATGTCCCGAAAGAAAAATCATTGGCATCTCTTCTAAAGCTCATCACAAACACCAACACAAGAATCAAACATGACAGAAATATATTCATGTTTAATGTCCCGAAAAAAAAATCATTGGCATCTCTTCTAAAGCTCATCACAAACACCAACACAAGAATCAAACATGACAGAATATGAATATATTGAAGGGATTGTGGTTCATGAATATTCCCTGGAAGATTTATTTGATGCACAACATAATTTGCACTAACAATATGAACATATATCTGATGTTGTTGAATTGAATAAGCACCTAATCAAACCATTGTCATGAATTTCAACCTACACTGGAACAAGAATGAGACTTGAGTTTCAAATTGAATTTAAGCATGAGATCATAACTTAATCTAATCCTCCAATAGAAAACAATATCTATTATTACCACGATGAATGGTCAATCTTCTATAGGTTTTGTTCATAATTTGTTAGTTTCTTAATAAACCAATTACTAAAATTAACCATAAAAAGAGAGTTAAGTTGCGTCAAAATTTTAGAAAAATTGATAAAGATGAATGCAAAGAAACTTAGAAATTTAAATTCCATCAATTTAGTCAAATTTAAAAGTGCATAATTCATCACGACTTCACAACTAATGGTTAATATTTGAGTTACCAAAGTGCATGTGTGTATATATATATATATATATATATATATTTCAAACTTTTTTTATCCCATCCTTGGGAATTAATGATGCTCATTAGCATCCAGAGTGCATGTTAGTATTTTTAAAACTTTCATTATTTGCCTCATATAATATTAGCTATGACTATAATTTGTATACTTTGGTTTATTTGTCTGAAAATATTCATACAAAACAATAATAAATCATTACACAAATGGGACAGATGTTAAATTAAAACCAGGAGATAAGGTATGGTATTTCTAAATGCTGAATGGATTCCTACTTGGTACTTCAAAAAATTAACCTCTAGAAGCCCTGGGACATTTAAAATCACGCATAACATTGGGATGAATTCTTATAAATTAAAAATCCTATAAAATGGAATCAGTGCAATCTTCAATGTATTAAATTTGACTTTTGAATAAACTGTTATCAATGTGTAGATTCTTCTAAATTTTTCATATTTTCACATCTAAAATGTTACCAAACAACTCTACACATTTTTTTATAAGATTATATCCACCATTGATGATAGATATCAAAGGCATCTTGTCCTTTAGCATGACAAACGTCACAAACCTACTTATGATGATTTTTCGATTAATGTTCAAAAAGCACAACAGTTGTGACTAGATTTGTTTAATAAATATCAAATGCTCAATTTGTCGCAACAAAATCTTTTTAAACCAGATAAAATACTGCAAATCAAAAGGCTAAACTCATCAAAAACACAAATTATATGAGCTGAAACACAAATTATGAGTTGAAACAAGCAATTTGCTGATCTAAGCATTGTTTCAAATTTTTTTTGCAATTTTCATATTTTTATATCATATCATATTAATTTAGTGTAAACATGCTTATAGCGATGATCCATATAGAGAATAGGTTGTCCTCTCAAATCTTTGTTTTGGTGTGTTTTATTTTAGATTGTTGCTAGCTCTCTAGTTCACGGCTGCTATTGATCTAGTTTTGGTTAATTGTTGGTTCCCTGCAACCTTGGTTTTGGTGCTAGTTCTTTGCAAAGTGTTTCAATGTTGGACTACCGTTTGGAGAACTTATCCGTTAAAACTCTCTCGCCGAAGAATAAAAAGAAGAAATCGCGCGGCGGGGAGGCCGAGGCCGAATTTTCGGAGCCCACAGTTCCCTGCAACCTTGGTTTTGGTGCTAGTTATTTGCAAAGTGTTTCAATGTTGGACTACCGTTTAGATTTTTAATTGTTTCTTCCCTGACTTTACCCTGGATGGAGCTGCTAAATTATTATATCAGGAACAACTTAGACTTTGTATTAAAATCATAGATAAATTGCTCCTCTGATTGCTGCTTTCCCTGTTACTTCTTATTGGAAGTATGATTTGCAACTACTTTTATAGCTGTCGTCCGTGTTTGGGGAAGACTAAAATACAAATTAATTACCTTCTATTTCCAACACTATAGAAGCACCAGCAAATATTCGCTAATTCTGTCTTGCAATTTCCAGCATATAAATGCATTAAATACTTCACTGATTTTCAGGATTTGCTAGTGTGATTTTGGCATTTTAGCTAATTTCATGAATGCCGGAGCAAATGATTTCAAATTCCAACTCTGTTATCCAGATTTGGAATTTTAGAGACCCCAAATTTGGAATTCTTTTACTGTAAATTATAAATAGGGATGATAAAAAAAATCATTCATTGCTTAAGAAAATTTATATTCCTCTCAAATTTGTGTTGATTGAATTGAATTCTTCAAATGTAGTGCATGTAATGATTGACAACTTCAGGTGAAAGCCGCATTCTTGAAACAAACGTAAGCCTGAATTTTTTATTGGGTGACGTTTTTCCTTGCTACTTTTCATATACATAATTTGGGATTAGTTATTAGCGTTATTGTTTTGGACAAATCTATCCCAATCAAGATTTTCTGATTGTCAATCCTCACAATTATATGTTTTTATTTGATATCAAATTTCTCGGAAATAAATTTAAATGGATGATTTTTAAAATATCATTTAGAACAAATTTTATATATTAGATATTTTCATCAAAAAGACAACCTTTATACGTAAATTAAAGGAGGCGGATTGAGAATCGAGTTTTCATGTGCATGTTTTGCTAATTTCATCCTAGAAACATATTAGAAAATCCTAAGACGTACTGCATTTGAGCTCTTGAGCTGCTGAGCAAGCTTTTAGTGGAACAACTAAAACATAAATTAGTTGCCACCAAGAATATAGATTGCAGAACAAAGTTGGCTGCTAGAAACATCCTAAAAAAGGGTACACAAAACTATCGAGGCCTTTAAAATGGAATAAAATATATGATTTTATCTAAAAAATAAATTATTTCACAACAGAAATAAGCACTGAGTAGCAAATGAGGAATGCAAGGAACATATTGTGATACGCCAAGAAAATTTAAAAAAATATATATTGTGATACGCCAAGGAGAGGGGCCACCTGGCCGGCCCAAACCATGCCAGCCAGATCGGCCCAGACAATGCCAGCCAGAACGGCCCAAGCTTGCCCAACCAACCATCTCAGCCCAGGCTGAACCAGGCAGAAATAGGGACAGCAAGTAGGAGGGGAACTTCAGCCCCCTTGTGGGGCCCGTTTAGGAAAGATTTACCTATTTGTTTAGGAACATTTCCTATTTTCTATTTACGCTATTTAGGGAGGGTTTTGATTGGGTTATTGTGTGTTATTCTTATTTAAGGGGAGTTTTGTCTAGAGTTAGGGGGCTTATGTTTTGTTGAAGTTTACTTTGGGGTTTGTTGTGAGTTTCCTAACGTCTAAGATTTATGGGAGAGTTGATCTACCTCTCAAATAGTAGATATCTTGTATCTTTTATTATTGTTGAGATAATCCAAAAATCAGTCCTAATATTTGATTCCTGAATTGTCTTCTTCTCTATATGTTGTTTTACTTACAAGATGCATCACATTGTCAGCCACGTGTACCTAATTTAATGTAACAATTCAAGTCTCCATGTCCCCTATAACAAGCAGTTATTTCTGCATCTAAATGTTTGCATGCCAATTTCATCCTATGAAGACTTTTATAAGCATGCGCTGGATCAAAAAAAAAGGAAGTACACGTATTTGCAGATATTAGTGCATAATTAAATGTTTGAAGAAGCGTGCAACTTGGAATGTTCAGAACTGAATGACAGAATAACATACAGCTTCCCAAGGTGAAGCTAGTTCCTAGACTATAATTAAGTATTTTCTAAATAACGTCCAGCGGAGTAAATTTACTCCTCCAAAACAATCATTTGAACAGATTTCAGTATCTGAGTCCACCAAATAAACCATCTGAACAAGGTTACAGATTAAAATTTCCAAACTTGCATTAGCACGAATATCAAAACAGATTACAAAGTATAAAAGAAAACAGGCCTCAGATAGAAAATAGATAACATAAGATGTTAAATGCATTTTGAAATTAAAATAAGAGTCCGGGATAAACCTTCTTTATCATAGTAACTGAAACTTGATGTGAAAATGTATTCGGCTGGGAATTTATAAGGTGACGGCTCTCGATAGATGTCACATGGGACATGGAAGGGGTCACAGATATCAAGTCATCAAGTTCTGCAAGAGAGTAACGATAAAGAAGGCGAAGTTTGCTTGAATCACATTCACAAAGATGCGTCCAATGCTGCAGGAGATAAGATCATGTCAACATAGGCTTCCAAATTATTCAAAATCACGAATAGAACACTATTAAATTAACAAAATGCATCTTCTATAGGCAGGCATAAACAATAACAACTTTTATGAAGGAATCGCATGAGGTAGGTTGATAGAGAAATCATCATAACTTAGAACGTCATAACTTGAAGCATTTCCAAAATAAATATAAACAGAGTTCAATAATTGTCTGGCTAAAACCAATGGTATGTATAAACAGATTGATGATTTACAATAATCTGATGGTCCCCATTTTACAACAGCCAAAAGAAAATAAAACGTGACCTGTTGCTTAAACAGAAACATAATTAAAATGCACTTTGCAGTTTATGCAAACACATAAACAGATGTCAGATTAAGTAGGATCACATGGATGTAAATTTTGATATTCACACAGAAATCATGGCCAATATTGCACAAAAAAATATCAAGGTATAACTACTTCGTAATCTACATATATATATATATATATATACTGTATTCTTCATATGCGTTACCTTAAGGCAGACAAATGTAGTAGCCCTGCAGCTGCAAGAAATGGCTGAAAGATACAAATATTGTTGGCATATAATGCATGTTTGATCCTACAATATTTGAAGGAATTTCAATTTCATCAGAAGAAGGTATTCTGAAAATCTTAGATATGAAAAGTCATAAAAGTTAAATTAGATAAGCCATACCTCTTCAGTGCCAACATACATGGGATGCTTCTTTGGGGCCATCAAAGATGACCTGACAATACCATTTTTCCAGAGCTCTTCTCTATAGCTCTTCTCGCTAATAAATATCTCGCATAATTCCTCCTTCAGATGTGGTAAGACATTATTATCACGTGCATTCTGTAAATTCCCACAGTACAGAAATAGAAAAGAATTTAATTTAGTGATGGAAACTGTTGGAATGTTTTTTGTGTAGACCAGAACAATAACAAGAGTTTAGAAAACGTTGACTGAAGATGCAGTAAAAGACAGCAAAAATATCCAAAATTAAAGTCCCGAGAAATGTCCAAAATATCAATGAACTATGAAAGTGCAAATCGATATGAAAGAATGTCAGAAACCCTGAATATCTTAGCCGCCATTTGGTTACAGGTATTTAGAAGTCAGCACATTCTAAATACACTGCAAAGTAAATAAATTGTATATAAAATATTTTTGCTTGAGTGTAAAACAAATACAAAAGAGCACATTTTTATGTTTGATTTTAAGTAAAATAAATTCAGTGTAAAACTTGAATGAAGTGGCTAGCGGCGGCAGCCAATGGTCGCGGCATTGGAGTAGCAACCAGCGACTTATGGCATTGGGGTTGGTGTCGGCAATGGGGATGAAGGCCAGTAACAATTGGCAAGCAACAAAGCTGTGCGCAACAGTCAATGGAAAGCAGAGATAAATAGTGGCAGGCAAAGTGGGGGCTAACAACCGCGGGAGAATCTTCACGCACGCAACGTATTTGAAATTTTGCCCAATTGAGTGAATTCTAAATACACTAAAAATTCCGCTAAAGGGTGAATTACAAATATAAAAATAAATTGCTTTGCATTTCTTCTATCCAACCAAACTATATTTTGAAATCTCCTTCACTTTTTTTACTCTGCATTCCTTTTTTGACCAACAAAATAGCCCCTTGAAGAATCTAAAACTACATATACAAGAACATTGGAGAGATAAAATAGGAGCCGTAAATGAGATGGATCTTTGTTTTTCCATCCATTTTAGCTAGTCTAGATATTTCAAAGTAAAAATGTTTTGCATTAATACCTAGGTGCAGTGTCTTCTTTCCTCTCCGATGTGAACAATGAAGCAAGAACAAAACCATAAACCAAAATCAAAGCATCCATGCTTGCAAGTGATTGTATTAAGAAATTGCACAAGTTCTTGATTAGAGAAATAACAAAGAAACTTTTAGCAACTAAAACAACAAATCAAAACGTGAAAGGGGTCACTTTCGTTTAGGCCAAGTTACATATCCAAAAGATTTGAACCTTCAAAATAAGTAGAAAATAACATTATGCCAACTAGTAGTTTTCAACAAAATCCCTAGTCTAACAATAAGATTAGTAAACAAATGAATGCACTCAAAATCCCTACGTTTACTAAGCTTAGCAGAATCGGGCGAGCACGACCTTCGTGACTACAATCAACTCACAAGAAAAAGTTAGATTTAAGAAACACAAGAGAATGAAGAGTAGAGAACCTTCGCTAAGGACCGGCAGCAATCTTCCACTCGACGACCTCCAATTGTTCTTCAATAGCTTCAACCAAAGTGTCCAAGATACGTTCTATGTAGTCTTCCACCGTATGGTCGATTCTCAGGTTGACGTCGAAGAAAGTTGAAAGGAGAATGTGCACGAATCCGTGTTCGTCGTAAGCAATCCCGTAGTCCATCTCCGGGTCAGCCATCCATGCGAGAAGTCGCTGCTTTGACTTTGGGAAGTGCTGGATGACAAGGAGAGACTTCTCCGATGGTGCTATAGTGAGAAGGCTCCAGCGGAAACTGATGGACAGCAAGCTGTCCCTTTTAGACAGCAGTTTAAAGCCTCTGGCTGATGAGAATCCAAGAAGGGTTGCAGGAATTTTCTGGCAGCAGTCTTGGAGAGCAGGAAACCCAACGTGTGATGGGGTTTAGGAGGAATTTGTGGAGGAAAAAACAGCACATAAGCCTTGGGAATTTTCGGCCAGCAGGGGAGGGGAGTTGGTGGCTTAATGCCAACTTGGGAGGAGTGGTTTTGGAAAGATTTAAGGAGGTGGGGAGCAAGCGGAATTTCTGCCAGAGGAAAAAAAATGAGGGGTTTTGAATTGTTTTCAAAATGGTGAAGTGATTTCAGGAAACAATTTCAAAGGAAATATCTATGGGGCCGGCGGCATAGGGAGTAGGAGGAGGGAATTGTGGAGACATTCAATGCTTACTTAAATTAAGAAATTAAATTTGAAATGAAAGATTTCATCCAATTTAATTTGAAATTTAAATAGGCTATGAATTAGGAAGTTACCAAAGAGAGGATTATAATTTAGGTAACTATTTTAAATTCAAATAGATTTGAATTTACTCATGAATAAAGTTACCTAAAATATGAAAGGCTAATTTTGGAAAGGTTTTTAATGGCAAGTGGGTGGATGAGGGAAATACAAGAGGAGGGGCTGGCGGTTTTTGTGTGTGGTGTGTGGTACGGTTGTGGGGTGGGGGGGGAGAGTTGGGGGTGGGGTGGTGGGGTTTTGGTGCTTAACCGACGGTGGGGTGGGGAGTTAGGGTGCTGTTTGTTGCCTGAATTAGGGGTGTAGAAAAGTAAAAACAATTAAATGTATTTTATTAAATTTGTGTTGTTTGGTTAATTTTTGAGCGGAGTAAAAGGAAAGTGTCGGAATGCATTAGGCTGTGTATTACAGAGCTCATTTTGCGCAAATTAAGAAACCCGCTCATTTGAGCCTGGTTATAAATTCGGCGTTCGATTCGCTTTCGGTTGCTGTTTCGGCTTTCATTGGCTTTCGCAGGAGGTTGTAAGATTGCAGAGAGGCTTTCTTCGGCTTTCCCTTCCTGCTTGTTCGACTACGAGCTCTTCTTTTCGATCCGCTCTAACGGCGCAGCTCGCAAGTTCGCGTCATCGTTAGGTCTGTTCGGGTTCTTCATTGTTCGCAGGTTGGTGTAAGATTGCACGAGAGGCTTTCTTTGGCTCCTTCGTTTCTTGTTTCGACCTCTCTCTCGCTCCTTGTCGAACGTCAGTGTCTCTTTGGCAGAGATCCGAGTCGTATTCCGCATTCCTCAATTTGTGCGAGTGTAGAATGCATCGAGGGCGGCTGATGGTCCATTGTACGCGCGTGCACGGGAGCCTTGTCTGTTCTACTGGTGGCCTGAGGGTATTCCTGCTCTTGATCTAGTACTTGGACGTGCTGAGCAAGTATGGTTATTGGTGATTTTCCGTTCTCAAGGCAAACGTGATTGATGTGGATTTAATTTAAGATTGTTTCTGTTTTAGCTATTCCTTATTGCTTATGCCTGGTGTAAGTCTTGGGGAAGCCTTATAATACGAGGAATAGGATCTCGGGAAGCAACCGGGTGCGCTCTTGTTTAAGCAGGGAATGATAATGGCCAATCTTGGTTTCATGGACTTTTTCTCACACGCGCATCCAGGGGTCAGTCGATTATCTTACTGAGGTTCTGGAGGAATTATCTTAAGTAATAATTAAGAAAAATAGTTTCTTTGTGCTTTTGGGCGGACTCCATTCACTTTTTATTTTAGTGGAATGTGTGATATATTAATTTTACTTTGCTTTACTAGTCATCATGCGCTTACCCTTCTTTTCTGCATGTGATAGTAACTTTGAATGAACTTTTGTTTTCTAACACTTCACTGTGCCATATATGGGAGTGTATTTTGTTTGTTTCCCACTTTTGTGGTGACAGAGTGGTTTTCATTTTAGCTTGCTCGACTGAGTCTTTATGGGGTAAAGTAATGAAGATTTCGTTAGGTTTTTTGTATTTTTTGTATTTGAAAGTTAAAATGATAAATATAGAAAAAAAATTTATAAAATCTCTTGTCTGGAATAATATTCATTAGTATATTCTGGAAAATTGTCCTCTAAAGTTTTTGTGGTTAGATGGTTGCAGCTTCGTAGAACCAAATGCTTTCTTTTAAATGCGCCTAGATTTTGTGGGCACAATATGATCTTCGAGTAGTCACGCCTAATGATTTATGATGATCCTGTGGAAAAGAACTTGACTTTTGTCGTTACTGCTATACATAACCCCCTTTTCATGATTTTAATTGTTCATTGATATTTTTTTCCTTGAATTTTATTATAATTACAAAGATGGTTGGCCATTTTAAGATATTACTGAACTCCATGAAACTTCAAAAATATAATGATGTGCTGAATTTATGAATGCTCTGTTTTTAAATTTATTTATCATATTTTTGTGAGAATGAATTGATGACTTATGACACTAATATATTTTTTTGGAGAATGAAATCGTCACCACCATTGTAATGATTAAATTCCATGCATCATGAATTGGCTTCAATGAGCACTAAATAACTGAACCAGAGCCACCTTTTAAAGTTTTGGTTATAATTCAGCAAAAGGCAGTTAAATTATTAACATATATTATAGTTGGATAGTGGGTCATCGGATGTATTTTTGTTCAATTGTGTTTAAATTGATACTATCTTTTAATATTCCTTCATTGTCTTTAGGAATGAAGAAGTCTCTGATTTGGTAATTCTGGTGAGAGAGAAAAACGCTTGAAGCTAAGTTGTGTTAAAGATAGATTTTGGACAGAAAACTGTATGTGATGCGTAAGTTGGAAGTCTTCGTTCATCAAAATGTATTGAATAAGTGAGATATATGCATAGGACTTGTAAAATAATACCGTGTTGTTGATACTTGATAGTTGAAAGAGTCTTATGTTATTGGTGTCTTGCTAATATTAGATTTTTTATGATCGCAGCTTGGCTTGGTTTGAAAGTTTTTTCACGCATATATAGTCTTTTCTATTTTTAGAAATGTTTGTTTAAATTATAAAATATGTTAATTTTTGTTTTCTAGAATGCTAGATAAATTCTACAGCCCTGGAATGGAATTTCCTTTGAAAGGCTTTTCTTCTTCATCAAAGGAGAGTGGTGTTTGATGTCTTTGTCCGTTGCCACATCTGTGTTAATTGTAGGTGAAGTTTTTCATACAGGTCGTAGAAAACTTTTGTTGCAGCCTCAAAAAGATTCCTCTAAATTGGATCGGCTAAGCAAAAAGCAATTGTCAAAGGACGGAGTCAAAGATCTTAGGTTAAAATTCCACAAAAAAGCAAGTTTCTGGCTTTTCCAGTAATGTTTCTTCTAATGTTCTTGGAA